CATCCTCATGGACTTGCTCTGAACGAGACCCCACTGAGCATCTTAAGTATCGGAGATTCTAGTTAAGTGATTAGGACTCGCCAAAGTTAGATCTTTGAAGAAGTTTTGACCCACTCAGTGTTTTCCGTGGCAGCTGCCTTTGAAATGTCCTTTCTGCCTTGCCTTCCATCTATCCATTTGTAGTTAATAAGAATTAACCTTTTTAAGAACGACGGTCCTGTTTTTTTATGGGAAAGTACCAGATCGGTCTGCCAGCCGTATGTACAAAGCCATGTTGCCATGTTGCCATGTTGGATCAGAAGCCATGTTGGATCAGGCCAATGGCCCGTCCAGTCCAAAACTCCGTCACACAGTGGCCAAAGACACCAGGGGCCATCAGGAGGCCCAGAAGTGGAAGTTAGAGATGCCAACCTCCAGGTGGGACTGGTGGATCCCCTAGAATTACAGCTCATCTCCAGACTACAGAGTTCCCTGGGAGAAAATGGCTGCTCTGGAGGGTGGATTCTGGGGCACTGTTCCTCACTGAGGTCCCTGCCCTCCCCAAGCTCCATCCCCAAATCTCCAGGAGTTTCCCAACCTGGAGCTGGCCGGGGGGGAGAACCTGACAACCTGGTGGGAGTGCATGTGTGAATGGCCACACACATTTACCTGCCCCAGGATGCTGGGTAACACAGTGTAGTGGCTAAAACAGTAACTCTTTGTGGGGATAGTTATGCCTCTCCCCAAGGGGACAATCTGCAAATCCTGAGGGGGCATTCAGACCTTCAGATTTTAGGCAGGCAGCTCCTTTTCCTTACTTACAATGGCTTCCCAGTTTGGTGAGCCAGTTTGGTGTCGTGGTTAAGTGCACGGACGCTAATCTGGGAGAACCGTGTTTGATTCCCCACTCCTCCACTTGCACCTGCTGGATGACCTTGGGCAGGCCGTCGTTCTGTCAGAGCTGTCCTTGAAAGGGCAGTTCTTGAAAGAGCTCTCTCAGCCCCGCCTACCTCACAGGGTGCCTGTTGTGGGGAGGGGAGGGGAAGGGAAAGGAGTTTGTAAGCCGCTCTGAAACTCCTTTGGGTAGTGAAGGGTGGGGTATAAATCCAATCTCCTCCTCCTCCTCCTCCTCTTCTTCTTCTTTCTTCTTCTTCTCTTCCAGCAGAGGAGAGTTGTTTTATAGGGCTTATGTCTTCTTACAGAATGAATCCCCAGGTCTTAGACTTCTCCCTGAGGCCCTTAGGGCAAATAGAAGCCAAACCTACCATGAAGAAGTTGGCCGATGGCTCTTATACACAAAGGACTCATTGTATGTAGACCTGATCTTGGTGTGTGGAACACATAGGTCATAAATATACCTATGTAAATAAAGTTGTCTTGTTTGGAATGCTGGTTTTTTATGTCCTGATTTTCTGCTTGCGTCTTGGGGGGGTATTTGATGATATTGTTGCATACTTGGTGGGCAGTAGTGGGTTAAAAGTTAAGAACGAGAGAGCTAGAGTGTGGGGCTTGGGTGGGAAAACCCAGTGTCAAGCCCCTACTCACTGGGTGGCCTTGATACATTGCTTCTGTTAGCCTGGCCTACCACACAAAGAGCCGTAAGGTTAAGATACCCCTTTGAGCAACTTGGGAGGGAAGGTGGGATTCAGATATGTCAGTAGTTTTCAGACTGTGGAACTATAAAGCTTTCCAAGAGTTCTTCAGTGCATGGGCCAGTAATGGAGGGCCGGCTTTCCCTCAAAGACCCCTGTAGCATACAGGGGCTCTGCGGTATTTATTATTTATTTATTTATTCTATTGCACTTATACTCCGCCCTCCCTCAAGGTTCTTATGGATGCAGTGCAATATAGTAAGAGTTACCTCCAGGTCTATCACTTGCAGTGAATCAGTTAATTCAGCCGGGAAGCCCACATACCATTTTGAATTCTGTGACAAAAGAGAATATTTTGGCATACATTTGCATATCAATAAAATGCCTTTAAAGAAAAAGGCGCTCTTTCTTGGATGCAGTTCGGGCATCCTGCCGAACCACGGTTTGGACTAACCGCAGTTCAGAACCAAAACCACCGTTTTGCGTTTCCACGCAAGCAGCAGACAAGCTGTGGTTTACGCCTCCTTGTCTGCTTTTTGTTTCCCATTTTTGAGGGTTGGGACAATGGTTTTATGTCTGATTTGTTAATCCGGATGTCATGCTAAGCCAGAGCAGGTACCAACCACGCCTTTCTGATTCACAGTTGGTCACACACACCCCCCCCCCCCCAGTTCACCAATTTCAACAGCATCATA